TTGCTTGTTAATGAGTAGCAATCTCCGGGGAGATGAAGCCGGTTAATTACGTCATCAATCACCAACACAGTAAAAACGCCATTTTGTAGTCCAGTTGAACAAAGAAGTTTCAAAGTAAAACCAAGGCTGGTGTTTAGATAGTTATAAAAAAAAAAAACATCACAGGAGTAAGACCCGCTTGTATTAGCCTTAAGTTGCTTTAAGCAATTTATCATTGTCCTGAGGGGGGGGACGCCTGTCTAGGGCTGCAAAAAGGCAGCTGCGAGGAACTGGCTGGAGATAAGAGCTCAGTTACGCTGGATCTCTTCTCCGTTCGCAGCCCAAAAAAAAAGAAGGGGGGCTGTGAACTACGAATAAATCCTAGCACCTGAGCTTCTGCCTGCCCCTTTCTGCCAGAAAGGGGTGATATCTATTGATCTTAATTAGATATACAGACCAGAACTCTGAGAGGGGCTCCGTTGAGCTCCTTCGGTGACAGGCTCCGCCCCCAGGAAGCTGGGAGAAACATATTGAAGTTGCTCTCTTAGCAATTAATAAAAAAAGCCTTATAAAACCTTAGTAAGGCCACACTTGGAACACTGCATCCAGTTTTGGCCACCATAATATAAAACAGATGTTAACACTCTGGAAAGATTGCAGAGAAGAGCAACAAAGATGATTAGGGGACTAGAGGATAAAACATATGAAGAACAGTTATAGGAATTGGGTATGTCTAGTCTAGTGAAAAGAAGGACTGGGGGAGACATGATAGCAGTGTTCCAATATTTGAGGGGCTGCCACAAAAAAGAGGGGAGTCAAGCTATTTGCCAAAGCACTTGAAGGCAGGACAAGAAACAATGGATGGAAACTAATCAAGGATAGAAGCAACCTAGAACTAAGGCAAAATTTCCTAACAGTGAGGACAATTAGCCAGTGGGAAGGCTTGCATTCAGAAGTTGTGGATGCTCCATCACTGGACCTTTTTAAGATATTGAACAGCCATTTGTCCAGAACAGTATAGGGTCTCCTGCTTGAGCAAGGGGTGGACTAGAAGACCTCCAAGGTCCCTTCCATCTATGCTATTCTGTGTCTGTGGCTCTTCTGCATAGCTTAGCTTGCTCAGTTGTCCATTTTCTTCTACTTTGAATCCCAATGAACTTCCATAAAAATCCCCATTCTGGGACTCAAAGTTCCCTTTTGTATTTTCCTGGTGGTGACGTGTGTTTGTCTTTCTCCACCCATAGCTCCCAGTTATAGATAGAAGTCACTTTGGCTTGAAAAGTTATTAGAGATAGAAGGCCTTTTGCTGACTAAAGCCTAATCAATGCCCACAAATACCTACTTTCCATTATCAGGTCTTCAATACGCTAGCCCATATCCTGCCCTCACTGAGGAAAGGGAAAAAGGTGTTTCAGAATTGTCCCTTTACATAACTATTGCTACCAGGGTAAAATCTGTTGCAGTAAATCCAGTAAGGTTAAAAGAGATAGATGATCTTTCTGGAAAGCAGAGAAGACAGGAGACTATATAGGTTTGTCATTTCACTGGAAAATAATATGCTGTGAGATACTAAGGTATGATAAAAATTTCAGAAGTAAAATGCATATTCCCAAAGAACACCCAATAATATGTCTGACACTTTGGCTTTTGTCCATGTGCTTAGAAAGTTTGAAGACTATACTAAGCCTGCCCTTTTGCTCTGTTCCTCCCCCTGATGCTTACTGGAGGCGCATCAGCTTTCTTAACCTACACCAAACAGTTTTAGTCAGACTTGCATTCTTCTTCTTCATGTAGATAATGCAGTTGTTGATGAAGGGCAATAAGCAACGGACACAGGAGCCGACAGCAGCCAACCGAACATCCTCACGTTCCCATGCAGTGCTGCAGGTCACCGTGCGCCAGAAGAGCCGCATCAAAAATATTATGCAGGAGGTGCGCATAGGCCGACTCTTCATGATTGACTTAGCAGGCTCAGAGCGGGCTTCTCAGGTATGGATGTGGAGGAGAAAAGACCAGTCACCTCAAAAATGAAAACACTCCTATGGAGAAAAAGAGGGAGATTAGGGAAGCAGTGAGATAGGAAACACTTGGTGATGAAACCTCAGTATTGAAACAGCCTTTGCAATGGCAAACTGGAAACTGGCTAATTTCCCATTTGGGGGGTGGGTTTATATGATTACTTTGCTTTAAGTCCTATAAGTGCGATATTATTATTGATTCAGCGGTTCGAATCTCTAGTGCTGCATAACGGAGTGAGTTCCCGTTACTTGTCCCAGCTTCTGCCAACCTAGCAGTTTCAAAGCATGTAAAAATGCAAGTAGAAAAATAGGAACCACCTTTGGTGGGATGGTAACAGCGTTCCATGCACCTTCGGCATTTAGTCATACTGGCTACATGACCACAGAGATGTCTTCAGACAGTGCTGGCTCTTTGGCTTTGAAATGGAGATGAGCACTGCCCCCTAGAGTTGGGAACGACTAACACATATGTGTGAGGGAAACCTTTATCTTTTTAATGACACCTCTAAATGACCAGTTTGAAATGAGAAATACTAATGAAACTGTATTGGGACTGAGAACTGTATTGGGACAGAGAACTTGGTAGAATATTCATGTCTCTCTTCAGTGAACACAAGCTTCCTATATGCAAGCATAGCACTAGCAATATACCACTTCACAGTGCTTTACAGCCCTCCCTAAGCAGATTACAGAATCAGTATATTGCCCTCAACAATCTGGGTCCTCATTTTACCCACTTCAGGAGGATGGAAATGCTGAGCCAGGAGAGAACCCCTGGCAATCGACAGAGTTAGCCTGCAATACTGCATTCTAACCACTGTGCCACCACTATTAGTCATTTAAAAGAATCATTCTATAGAGCTTTATGGGAATGTCATTAGTGATATAGTATCCATCCAATATTTGGATCAAGACCACTTTACTTCAATGTCCTCTGTGGCTCACCATATTTTGTCTTAAATCAGGAACTTAATTTTACTCCAGATAACATCATTTTTTTCCCTTTGGTGAAAGCTGCTTAAATGTTAGTGCCAGAAGAATGATGACAGAGAAAATATATTTCAATCTGACCTCAGAATTATATCTCAAAGAAATAGGGCTTGCCTCAAGAGTGGTCTGTGTTGGAACACCAATTTCATTCTGATGTCAATTCTACTTTTCCCACCTTCATAGACACAGAATCGTGGGCAGCGTATGAAGGAGGGCGCTCACATCAACCGGTCTCTGCTGGCTCTTGGCAATTGCATCAATGCTCTCAGCGACAGGACAGGCGTCAAATATGTTAATTACCGGGACAGCAAGCTTACTCGCCTTCTAAAGGTAGGCTGTTCCTTTGCAGGTTTGGCAAATAAGCAGAGAGTGTAAATAGCCTAAACGAAGCTATGTATTTTCAATATAGGCAAAACAGAATAGAAAGATTTTTTGTGGGGGACTGTGTTTGTATCAATATGTGCTTAATTGCATTTCCCCTAAAAGTTGAATGAAATGTTCCAATGAGAGAAATATGCATCATTTGAGTGTAGAGCTGCTGATGAATCTGCAATATTATTATATTATCTTATGTATTTATGTGGTATTGCTCTTATTTTTTATGTAGTTACTCATCAGTATTTTTTCTATAGATGTTTTTTTTTTAATGTTGTTAAATAAATAATATTGTTCCTCATTAAAGTGTCATGTAGCTAAAATAAAGGAAAAGAAATATTTTTTAAAAAATTCCAATGAACAAAATAGCAATCTGGTTTATTTTGTTTGGTCATAAGTTTGGTACAGCCTGCTTTCTTCTGAGGTAGAACAGAGAAAAGGAAACATGTGTTGCAAGAATAATTTAAACTAACTGAGGGAGATGGGGAAGAGATAAGAGTTGATCTAGTGGACCTGTGTAAGACAAGGCAATGTTCACGCTTACCTATTGTGCAGTACAGATACGATGGGTCAAGCTACAGTTTCAGGACCTTGGAGAGTTCCAAGCAGATACTGGTAACTATGGCTAAAACTTAAGAGTTCAAATTAAAGCTTTTATATTTCTCGATCCACACTCCCAAAAAGTCCATAGGTGAAAGCTGAATATTCAAATACCTAGTATGAAGAGTGTGGTTCCCTAAGCAAACCTGGCTTTAAAAATGTCCGCTGAAGATGGGATTGGGCTTGAAGGAAGGTGCCTGGCTAGTCAGATCAGTTTTTGTAATAGAGCTTAGATTTAGAATCATCATGGTGTACCTGGGTATATATGGTTCCTCCTTTTCTGCAGACAGAGTTCTGATTGCGGCTGAAAGTCTAGTATGGCTTCCTGGCAAACAGTATATATTCACTCCTGTGGTTTCTATTTCCAGGATTCTCTAGGTGGGAACAGCCGTACTGTCATGATTGCTCACATCAGCCCCGCAAGTAGTGCTTTTGAGGAGTCACGCAGCACCTTGACCTATGCTGAACGTGCTAAGAACATCCGCACCACGGTAGGATGCTGCATTCTTAGCATTTTATTGCTTCTTCTGCTTTGTCTAGAATTCCAACTCTTGTAAGTTGCTCAGATAAGACATTTTGTTTCACCCTGAATCCAGACGGTTCTCCAGCCTTCACATCTGGTCATCAAAACATTAATTAATTTAGCCTTATCATCAATATATTTTCTAATCAATGCAGGAGCTGGAGCTGGTAAGGCAGGAACCAAAATTGGGCACTCCATTATATAAGCATTGAAAAAATGCCTTCCAATTAGAAGGATAAGTAATTAATGGCCAATTTTGAAGAGATTTAATTTTAGGCAGGAGGAAAAAGTCTAAAATTGAAATCTCAGAGCAGATACAATATAATTGGAACTTGATTCCTATGTTCTACAATTGACAGATCTTATGTATATAAGATCTGTCTTAATCTGTGATAAAGCAACTTATCTAGCTGTGTGTATATCACTACACTGTATATGGTCTCCAGTTTGAGCAAGTTTTAAGCAAGTTCCTAAGTATAGGATTGAGAATTAGGAGTCAAGATTTATTGCTACATGAACACATAAATGTGAAATAGCTTTGGAGACATGGCAATAGCTTAAGATATTGTACAACAAGATTCTAGACATCAACCTGCAATCTCTCTTTTTTTTAAATGACTTAAGCAAACTCATTGTAACACTGCCTGGTTCATGGAGTTGATTGAGGAGGATGCCATTGATAATTGCAGCAAAAATGTGACAAAGAAATCCTTCTTTATGCTCAGATTCAGTTGCCAAGAAAAGAAAAGAAAACTCCTCCTCATAATTACAATCAAATTACAGACTTATTTGCCCTTTGAGACTTAGTTGGTTTCTTCTGGCCTGTTTACTAGATAATAGAAAGTCTTGATCTGTCTGACTCTACTTAATTAAACAGTTGATTTTCTAACCAATGTTTTTATGTTATATATTGATTCTGACTCTTGCATCTTTACTATTTTATGGAATGATCTAGTATTTGAAAAGCATCAGCCCTATAAAGTAGACCACACTAAGAAACACTGTGCAGACCTAAAGTTGTATTCGAACATCTTGCAAGTCTTGTGTGCTTCTTCATGAGAATTAAGAGAGGGTGGTGATGGTGGTTCTTAACATGGCACGACAAAACCGCGCTCGACTAAAGCGCGCCCGATTAAACTGCGTCGCTGACGTCATCAACGGGGCGACAACGGCGAGCGCGGAAAAAGAGGGGCTTTTAAAATAGCGTTTTAAAAGAAAGCCGAT